CAATTACAAATTTGCTAATATTTGTTATTTATTAACTCAATACAGTTTTATCTTTTAGATTTAGTCAAAAAATATTTTTTTTTGTGCACGGATACTGATTTTGGTGTGTTTTAACAATTGAATTGTGTATTTTTATCGGTTTAATATTAATTTGAGAAACATTTGCGCAATTATCGCAGGGCCTACAAATTTAGTATCACCATCTTTTTATTCTACCGGGCCTGCGCTTTCAGAAAATATATGGTTTGGGGGGTCTTTTACAAACGCTAGCAACGCAGCAGTTGAAAATCAAATCAATAGGAAAAAATTGCAGAAAATTCAAAAATGGCTTGGCCAGCTGATTTGAAAAATGTTCCGGAGGGCTTGGCAGCGAAAGGGTTAAACCCCCAAACGTTATATATCTTCTGAAAGCCAAGACCCTGTAGAATGAAGCAGGGGAGGTTTTAAATTTTTTATGTTGACATTAGGACAACTTATTTGCAAACCCAAAAATTTAGTGAGAAATGCACTTAAGTTATATTTAGTCCCCGAAAACACTATATAAAATGTGAGGTTGCAACGAGTAAATAGATACCCGACATGCCCAGGTTAAAAATTGTGTGCGTGAAACTGCAAAATAATTCAGTACCTCAAAAAGTCCATACATGACGCTTTAAAAGCCCCTACAGGTCATCAGTTTAGAGATACACGTAAATATTGGTCCTACAATTATCGCGCTACAGTCTGGTGTGTGCAGCGATACCCAACATGTGTAGTGCAATCGTCGTTTTCGTACGTAGGCACACCCGACGCGTGTGCTCGCGGGGGACTTTAAATCTTTTTTTATTATTTTTAAAACTTTTTGTTGTTTTTTTTTAAACTTTCATTTCTATCACATAGGGGGGCTTCGTTAAGGTGATACTGGGGGTTCAAAAGACCCCTAGTATCACCTTTACACTCTAAATAAGCCTTTTGAAATGCAAATCACACTTCAATAGCTTATTGCTGGGCTTCAGGAGCCGAGCAATGACAGCTTTGGACCGGAAGTGATGCAATACGCGGGGGGCGAGATCCGTGAACGGACGATCGACGCTCTCCTTCCCGCTGACACCCGAGACGCTGGTTATGGACCCGTAGGAGGGGCAGCAGAGCCCAGGAAACACGTTGGGGGTGTCGGCCCGTTTACCGGATCATAGAAGTGATCTGGCGGCAGCTGAGCCACCAGAATCGCTTCTACTGGAAAGCCGGCAGCCGGCTCTACAAATCTGTACAGAGTCACGGTGGCTAAAAGCCGCCGGAAGTCTGTTTAACCCCTTCAGAATTCATAATGGGATTATCCCGTCATGGGTCGTGAAGGGATTAAAATGTAATTCTTGAGTTTAGTGTCACTTTAAGGTTCTTAAAGTGGACCTCTACTTTAGGTCCTAATAAACTTTTGGGAAGGAATTGTGAGACTGGGCTTGGTGGGTAGTCCAAGCCTACTGAAAATTGTGACCACCACCCCTCCCAGCCTAATCAGCTTAGAGACTGAGTGTAGGGAGTAAGGAGACCGGCTATGGAGAACTACAAATACCAGCAATACATTATACAGCAATTTGAAGCTACATACTCTGTGCTATTCCGGGGTGGCACCCTGATGTCTGCGGGCTCTCAGGTGGGCTGTGCGGGCTCTCAGATGGCCCATGTGGAATCTCAGGTGGGCCATGCGGGCTCTCAGCTGGGCTATGCAGACTCTCAGGTGGCTGTGTGGGCTCTCAGGTGGGCTATGCAGGCTTTGCAGTGCAGTGTCTTACCAGGGGTCCAGAGGTGGGCAGCATTGTGTCAGACACAGGAAGAGATGTGCGGGCCAGCTTCGGCTCACAGGAAGATGCAGCTGCAGGCACATGTGGCTGCCTGAGGGACCTCAGCAGCCACAGCTGTCAAAAATTGGCACTTAGTGTCTTGTGTCTGGGTGTCAGCTGGCTGGAAACCTGGACACAAGACTCAAAAACTGGACGGTCCAGGGTGGCAACCCTAGGGGGGGGGGGGGGGTTGTGCTTTAGGAAAACAAACGTTAGGTTAGTAGTGTTAATTGTTTTGTTTGCATTAAATATTAGCAATGGTGATTTATTTGGAGCTTTCCTTACTGGCTACACTGAACAGCTAAAAGTGAATATCAAATTGGTAAATTGTTTGCAATTTGTTACTGTCATTCTTTGCTTTTGTGTTCCTTCATGAAATAAGAGTTGGTTACTATAAATGTATTGCTTCTGTAGCTAAATTCCCTATTCTGTATATGGTTATGTTTACTTGTTTCCTTATCACTTAGGCCAGTGATGGCGAACCTTGGCACTCCAGCTGTGCCAAAACTACAAATCCCAAGATGCATCTGCCTCTGGGAGTTTTGTCTGTGGCTGTCAGAGCCTTGCAATGCCTAATGGGACTTGTAGTTCCAAAACAGCTGGAGTGCCAAGGTTCGCCATCACTGACTTAGGCTGTCTTGATATACATTGTACTATGTGCTTTCTCCGTCACTTTCTTGTACTTTTACTTTGTTTAGAATGTTATGATTCATGTTAATACTTTTATGATATTTTTTTACAGGTTACATTTTTAAGAAACCAATTGTTGCACCCCTCAAAAAGATGGAAAATGAACAAAAAGTGCCATACCGTCGCCTTGAAAGTGCAGTACTAAAGTTTACTAAAGTAGTTATTCCAACAGACCTAGAAAGATTGAAGAACCATCAGTTAAATATTGAGAAGGTTAGCGTTACTTACTTTGATGACATCCTAATGACATATTTGACTTTTACTTATCTGTGATCTTCTATAATTTTTATACTGTAATAAAAATTATTTACTTAACGATTGCTACCTACGGTAGTAGCAAGCTTAGCAGGCTAATATTTTGAACTTTTATGTATGCCTAAAGATGGAAGTCTCAAAACAACCATGGAGAAGGCAGTTCCAAAAAAAAAGAAGCAGATATAATCAAAGCTAGGATTATTAGAACTAATAGGTTAAAGAAGTGGAATGGTATAGCTGTAATGATACGGTGAGCATCACATAGCTATTATTTTATATAACAGTGGAACAAACTTAAAGGAGAACTATGGGGTTATGGCTTTTCCCCAAAGTTCTCCTTAGGGTAACGGGAGCACACACACTAGCGTCCTCCCGTTACCCTAAGCTCAGTATCGATGTCGAGAACATCGATGTCGAGATCCGGCCTGCTGCGTGAGTGACAGCTGGCTCTGCCTATCTAGAGGCAGAGCCAGCTGTACCCGCCCCCTCCTCCGTCCGATCCGCCAGTCAGCGCTGGCGGAGCGGGGAGGGGGGAATCCAGCCCCTCCCCTGTTACGGCAGAGATCTGTGACAGGATCGAGAGGTGAGCGAACGCCGATATATGTTCGCTCACCTCCCGATCTACTGAGCCGACCTGTGACAGTCTCATTGTTGCAGGTCGGCTAGAACTATGAGGTGAGTGAAAAGCACTCACCTCCTAGTTCTCCTTTAACGGAGAACTATGAGGTGATTGATTTACACTCATCCTCATAGTTAGAGCCGACGGGTGACCTTGACTGCCCAGTCACACCATAAAGAGTGCGTTCCAGTGCGTACGGCCTCTGGAATGCAACACGGCCAGCTCACTTTGTTTTGGGGTGGGAGGGGGCGTGGCGGTGCATTGAAGTCAATGGCACCGCAGCTACGCCCCCTGCCCGCAGTGCGATCAACGGCATCCGAACCTGTACCTGCATTCCGGTCCAGTGCGATCTGCAAAAAATGCTGCATGCACTATTTTTTGCAGATCGCACTGGACCGCAACGCAGGCTCTAATGTGCCACGCGTTCGAGTACTAGCGATTGCACTGCGGGCAGGCAGCGTGGCTGCGGTGCCCCTCCTGCCCCAAAACAAAGTGAGCCGGCCGGGTTGCGTTCCAGTGTGTTCCGGAGGCTGAGTGCACTGAAACGCACTCTTTATGGTGTGACTGGGCCGTGAATCTTTCGCACGTCGAAAAGTAAGCGAACACATACCGGCGCTCGTGTCAGTCACCGCTCGCCGCAGGGATTCCCCCCCCCTCCTCGCTCCGATTCTCCAGCGCTGACTGGAGGAACGGACGGGGAGGGGACGGGCACAGATGGCTCTGCCTCTAGATGGGCAGAGCCTGCTGCCAATCAGCCAGCTGAGTGGATCTTCACAGTATTTTCAGGACCTGTCCTGGCTCTGGTGATCTTAGTATATAACGGGCAATAGCACGCTATATACTGAGCTTTGGGTCACAGGAGAATGTTAGTATATGTCCGTCCGTGACCCTAAAGAGAACTATAGGATAAAAAGGTTACCCCATAATTCTCTTTTAACCTCCCTGGCGGCGGAAGCCGGCATCGGCCACAGAACACAGCGCGGCTCGAGGGACAAGGTAAGTAAATGCTATGCGGCTTTCCCGAGTGTAGCTCGGGGTTACCGCTTATGGTATGGAAAAGTAACCCCGAGCTACACTCGGGAATACCGTTAGGGAGGTAAACATATAAGACGGAGAATACTAGTGCAGTCTTCACAGTGTGGGTCACGCCAGAGTGTATTGTGGGAAAAACAAGTACAGACTGCTTATGCTGCTTCCTATAAGCAGAATATTTTACTTTGCCTAGTATGGTTCGCTTGAAAGAATATGATTATTGATTTCTAAGTGATGTTGAAGATCTATATTTTTGTGTTAATTTACCTTTTCGCTTTCTTTAGTATCGAAAATGTAAATCGTGGGATCAGTTGCACAAAGAGCATATTAACGCGGGACGTACTGTGCAAGTAAGTTAAAGAGAAAAAAAAGCCATACATATACTCCAAGATATCACCTAACTTGCAACATCTAACATGAGAGAGAGTAATGAGGTGGGTTCTGAATTAACTAATATAACTGTAACCACACACACACACACACACACACACTTAACGGCATTTATTTCATTAAGTTCCCTGTGCCAAGCGGGTGTTAATTAAAGTCCAATGTTTGCAACTGCATCACCCTTTGAAGAGCACTCTGAGCTCCAAGAGGGGGCTGCAAACTGCTGTGAGGGACCTAGAACATTTTATTGGTAACCGCGTGTCACATTCACCCTTTCACTGCCACCACGCTAACTGTGTTTCCAAGCTGCTCTGCTGAAAATTAACTCAAAGTGCCCAGCCCCAACAAAGTTCCAGCACAGATGCCATGTGCAAAAGCAGATTAGGGACTGTGGGTCCTCAATTTGCTTGCAATAGTGGCAGGGCAAATATCATGGGTGTAATAGTCCCCTTATATCTCCAGAAAGAGGACCTGTCACTACTGTTACATAAGGGGCTTATCAGTCTACAAGCCCCTGTTGGTTCTCAAATTCTGAATGTAGTCTGTTCAATAATTGCCTCCCTGCAAGGGGGAGGCCTCTTGGCCTCAATTGCTATCAAGGATGCCTACTTGCATGTCCCCATATTTCCTGACCATCAGCGTTTTCTTCGCTTTGCCATAGTAGATCATTACCAGTTTGTGGCTCTACCTTCTGGACTTTCTACAGCCCTGAGGGTGTTTACCAAAGTATTGGCACTAACACCAGCCCTGTTGCACATTCAGGGTATCCATGTAGTCAGTTATCTAAATGATCTCCTCCTAAAGGCACAGTCAAGTCTAGATCTATTGCTGAATATCTGAAAAACTGTACTCCTTTTTAGAGCAGTTTTGTTGGGTAATCAACTACCTGAAGCACTCTCTGACGCCATCTCAATGTCTGGAGTTTCTGGGGCACGTGTTGGACACAATCCAGGCTTGAGTCTTTTTCCCTCTGAACAAGCTCAAGTCTCTGCACAGTCTGGTCCGCAGTCTTCGGTCACAATCTCGCCCCTCATTGCGGTTATGTATGAGGGTTTTAGAACTGTTAGTGTCCACTTTTCAAAGCAGTGCCATTTGCTCAGGCTCATTCTGGCCTGCTCCAGCTAAGCATTCTAGCCTCATGCAACAGTCGTCCCTCTTGCTGGATTGTCCTATGCGCCTTTCTCCAAAGGTGCGGCTGGCTCTCAATCAGTGGTTTTTAAGTCAGGCTCCAGCTCTCGGAAAGTCTTTTTGGCCAGTCCAATGGATGATCCTAAGTACGATCTGACTGGGGGGGTGTTGGGCAATCTGTTCAAGGGACATGGACCCCCACAAGAGTCTGTTCTGCCCATCAACATCCTGGAGCTGAGAGCAATTTATCGGGGCCTTCGCCACTGGACCCGTCGACATCAGGGGAAACCAACACGAGTTCAGTCTGACAATATGTCCAGAATCTCATGTTCCTGTTCTTTTAGCAGTCTTTATTCCCTGGGTGGAAAATTGGCAAGTTGTTTTTCTCAGCTGCCAGCAGCTGGATCAAGGGGAATGGTCCCTAAACCTGCTGGTGTTTCAGCAGACCCAATCTAAAAGGTAATGCAAAAGCTTAAATAAGTATTTTTAATCTTAACAGTCTGGCTGGTGTAAAGAGTTGCATCATAACCTCACACATTATAAGAAAGGATATGAACTGCTCAGAAGGAAGAAATTACAGTTTATTCAGTATAGTCAACTTCCTGTCTGCCTCCCTTTTTCTTCGCACCTGAGGCCTTGGCCAGTGTCTCCACTGCATCTCCCAAGTGAAACACAATCAGCTTCAGCTTTTTGCTCTCCTCCACTTCTCATTAAAACTCAGTTTTTGTCTACCACTGTGCACAATTAGATGCTGTTCTGTCCTTCACCACCGCTCTCCAGCCACAGTCTACCTCCCCTATGCTCCCCAATAGGGATGTCCCAATACCACTTCTTCAAGACCAAATACAGGTACTTGCCGATACCAATTTTCAATACTTTTTCTTAAAGGGACACATTTTTTCTAAAACAATACAGCCTAATGATATAGGGGAGTTTCTCACCTGAGCGGCGTCCAGATGTTACCAGAGCTGCCTATGGGTCTCTCTAAGGCTCTGTGGGCAGGTGCTGGGCTGAATGGGTGGGTGGTGAGCTGAATGGGCAGGTGGTGAGCTGAACGGGGCGGATCCTTGTCTTGTCGGCCCCAAAGCTGTACGTGCAATGTGGGGCTGCCTCGAGCTGTGGCTGCGCCTGGAAGGAAGAGGTGTGGGACCCAGCATGCACCGACAAAGACAGCTACTGGCAGGTCCCCACAAGCGCGGGATCTTAGGCAGCCGATCCAATGTAAAAATTTAAAGGGCCGGTATAGGCCTTTAGTATCGGGGCATTTTCACGAGTATGAGTACTCGTGAAAATGCCCTGTATTGGCCCCGATACTAGTACATCCCTACTCACCTACCATGCTCAGCCGTACCCTACCCATTTGTCCAGTGATCCATGATCAGATTATAGTCAGTCTCCTCTATTTTCATTTTTTACCCTGGTCCATGATCAAATTTTCTCTCCTTGATCAGCTTCCCCCCCATACATGATGATCTGCTTTTTACTTTTTCTGTCTTTCACTCTTCCCTTATTCAGCTGATCCTTGTCTCGAGACTGGCCAATATTCTGTTGTCAACTGTAGTTTCTTCTCTCTCCCCTTTTACCCCCAGCTTCACTCGGCCCACTTTCGCCCTCCTGGTTCACTACCAGTTTCCATTATGCTTTCTCATGGAATATATGTTTGCCTTTTTGTGACCTAGATGTAGGAGTATTCGTTGTGGTTGTTCAGTGCAAAGAAAGCATATGATTATTTTTATTTTTTTTCTAGCTATGGACTTAATATTACTGGTAAAATAACAGAATGTATGTTCATACATTTTCCTTCGAACCATTTTTGTCATTGTAGTAGAGACCTAAATTGCAAAAAAAAACTCTACTTTTGTAGTGTTTGCATGAATTTAGCCAATTGATGTTACACACTGCCCATATATTTTATTTTTTTTCCTGCAAGCTATTTAAATGTTTGCCAACGGACTTCTGCTCTGTTTGTGTGCAAATAAATCAGATTAATTATTGTGATACGAAACGTTCTCCTGTGCACACTTTTCTTTCAAATTAGATGCTTGTAAATGCATTAGAAAACCTTTAGTCAATATTTACCAGAGGCATCAGCTCAGTTTTTTTTTTTTCTTAATTACGAGCAAAACAGCAAAGTAAATAAAATCCCTCCCTACCCCTCCTCCCCTTTTATAGCTTGTCTACAAGCTGCACTTTGGTACCCCAACACTTTTTCTACAAACTGGTTGTTAATGTTCAGTTCAAGTCACAAAATTGTGTGCCAAGATGGGCAAAGGAGGTTGAATCAGATAAGTCTTATTCATTATACATTGAAATAGTTAACTCCCAGTGTAACCACGGAGACCAAATATCTCTAAATTTGTCTGGGCAATGACAACTGGAATAAGTAAGTTAGTACAGCACATTTTAGACAAATATATGCACAGCAACTCTACATTTAATCCATGGTTGTATAATTAGAAATGTTATCATTTTTATTTACACAAGCTAATTACCCGTGTTTACTGTCGTGCTACACATATTAATAATACCACTAAAATCATTGCAAGAATAAATATTGTGCAACAGATACCTATCTCGTGTCTTGATGTAAAATATGTTAATAAAGCAAACAAAAATAACAGGAGATACTATTGTTTTTAAAAATCTGCTAAACTAATACATAAAGATATTACTTACTTTGTAGCATGGACATAATACTCTATAGTAAGCCTCATGCAGTTCTCTCACTGCTTTTTTTTATAGCCCTTGGCAAGTTTAAGGATTTAAACTCAATAATGGCCCCAGCTGTTTTCAGTTGATTTGGCCATGCCACTGCTTTTTAAATCGGCTCCTCATAAACTTAATTAGAAGAGATGAACAGAGAATCAGACCTTTTCCAGTACACCAAAGGATTTAAAGCAACTCAGACATATAGGAAAATACCTGTGTGATTAGGTTTATAATTCTAATGAAGCTGTGACTAGCTGTAATTGTTTCTCGATCTCAGAATCAGTATGTAGTAAATACTTCAGGTTATCATCAGATCATAACTGCACAGATGTTTTGCCACTAACCGATTCCCTATGTTTACCCATGGACCTGCGTATTTGAGCATTATAGTTACATAGTATTTTGAGTTTGAATAAAGACATTAGTCCATCAAGTCCAACCTATTAGGATCTCATTCTAGGAGTACCTGTATTTATTGGGTCTACCTGCTCCTTTCTCACCTTTTTACTGTTAATATATTGGTAGAATTTTTTTGGGTTCTTTTTAATATCTGCGGCGATATGCTTTTCGCACTCAGTTTTAGCTGCCCGGATTTCTAGTTTGCATTTTTTGTTACATTCTTTGTAGTTAAGGAACGCCAATGCCGTCCCCTCCGTCTTATATTTTATAAATGCCGCTCTCTTGTCCTTGACGTGTTGTTTTACAGTTTTATTAAACCATATTGGTTTAGTCTTTGATCTTTTATTTTTGCTCCCTAATGGTATACACTTTGAAGTAGCAGTATGTAGTGTGTTTTTAAAACAATCCCACATCTGGTCTGTGTTTAGGTTTTGAAATAAGTTTTCCCATTTTATTTCCCCCACTAGGTTGCGCAGCTTCTCAAAGTTGGCCCTTCTGAAGTTTAGGGCTCTAGTCCTTCCAGTACACTTCCCTTTTCTGTGTTCAATATTAAAAGTAATCACATTGTGATCACTATTACCCAATGACTCCCCAATTACAATATCCTCGATTAACTCTGCATTATTAGTGACAATTAGATCTAAGATGGCATTTTTTCTGGTAGGAGTCTCCACCATCTGGTCCATGAAATTGTCGCGCAACATGTTTAGAAATCGCCCCGCCTTTG